TATGATGGTGCTGGACCTCTGGAGGCAATGCCACTTGGTGTAAAGCAGCTGGTCCTCCAGTGGAAGTCCACATGCCAACCTCATGAGAGTGAAAAAGTAAAAAGTCCTTGGAGTGGGAGTGAGGACAGCTGTTTCCTGTAAAGGCTGCAGGACTACTCTAGTCTGGGTGGTGGTGCCTCCCTGACCGTCCTCTGGTCTGCATCAAGGTAGGCACAGGTGAGGGATGGCCGCACACAAGATATCATCAGCTACCCCGATGTTTCAGCCTCACACCTGTGTCAGATGACAGAACATTCTTATTTGGATGTTGGTTGCTTCAGAATGCAAATACCATTCTTGGAGGGCAATGGGGCCCTGATACTCCACACTTGCCAGCTACCTGCCTCTGACCCCCTAAACCAACTGAGGGAACCCACCATTACCCCCACTTTGCAGATAAGAAAACTGAGGCAGAAGTGTGTGTTAAATGTGGTGCAATGGGCTGCATAGCTGGGGATGAGACAAGGATGGTGTCTGGGGAGGGTTCCATATCTTGTCTCAAGACTGAGCCGAGGGTGGAACACGGCCTCTGGCCTAGGCCTGACGGCCTGCCTCCTTGGCTGTGTCACCGTGCTCCTCTAGACCACAGTTCCCACACTGTGGTGGCAGCGGCCGCACGGGAAGCGTGCCCAGCCCGCGGCATTAGTGCCGGGGCCTGCTTCTGAATGAACGAGGGCGGCGGCGGGGGGATTGAGGAGGGCAGCTCCCAAAAGACCATCTGGCTCCATGTTATAATAGAGCAATAAAGGGCTCATCTGCTTTTCAGGAGTTGGGAAGGAACTGCCTCTGCACCACAGTTACGAAGCAGCTTGGGCCTGCGACCCCAGCACCACTCTGGTCCATGGTGGCTGGTGGATAGAACGTGGCCACGTGAGCCAGATAGACCCTCGTGCTGCCCGGAGAGCATCCGCCCCAGTTTTCCCACCACCCACCTCGTTGTCCTGAGCCCCCTCCCCCTTTGGCCACCTAAGGCAGGTTGAGGTGGGCAGAATCTGCTTTGGAAGCTCCGGGGAAGGGACCCCTGCCTAGGGCTGCAGTGCATCAAGTTCCAGGGGCCTCGGGGCCTCACCTCTGAGGCACACAAATGCCTGGCAGCACACAGAGCTCTCACCGGTGGGGACACCTGACCACAGCTCAGCAGACCTGGAGTTTCCAGGCCCAGTGGGAACAGAGGGGCTGCGGCCGGGCCTTGTGTCTTCACAGAGCACTTCCCTGAGGTTGTTGGGGTACACTCTCCAGCCCCAGGCCCCACCTTAGTCAGATGAGAAAGGAGGTTTTGGAAAGGGAGTATCTCCAGGCCAGCCACCATCAATCCCCAGAGCCCTCAGGGGCCAGTGGGTAAGCAAAAGAGATTGAGGCACACTGAGGTGAAAAGTAGAGAGGACATCTGGGAGCAGCTTGTACAAAAGGATCCAGAAGTGGCCCAAGTCACCCAGCAGTGTGCCAGGCTTGTGACCCCCGCGCTAGGTCCACCATCAGACTCACTGTGTGGAGGAGGGACTTGCTCCGGAGTCTGGAGCTCAGCCCCTCCGCCCTAGCCAGTACGCGCCAGCCCTTCTGAGGATGTTCTCACAGAGGTGGGAGGGAGGAGCTGTCCCTTGATTTGGTCGCCCGGGCTTAGCACGATGTACAGTGCGGGTTCTGGGGCACCTATTTGGGCATGGGTGGCAGGCCACCCTGGCTGCAGATGCTCCTTCTGGGCTGAATCTCAGTAGGGGTACCTCAGCAAGGTCCACAACCTGGAGTCAGTTCCTCAAGACCCAGGGAAGCCTCGTCCTATGGGTCCATCTTACAGACAGGTAAACTGAGTCTCTAGAAAGATCAAGATGTGCTCACCTGTGTAAAAGTCAAGGGCAGAGCCAGGCCTTGACCTGGCCCAGGTCCTTTGTCAGTCCTTGTCAGCCTGCTCTTTGGAACTGCCCTGAAGTAATCCTTCTGTGGAAAAACCGGCAGAGTCGAGCTGCTCCCGGAGCACGTCACCGAAATGCCGCAGGGGGCAGGGGTAAGTCTACAAGGTGAGGGTGGTGCACACACAGAGAACTTTGAACCTGAGGATCAGACTGTGGAGTCAGCCCGAAAAGCAGAGTGTCACAGCCTCTCACCCCATGGAACAGAGCACGGCCAGCACCTCAGGGTTGCTGCCTGTGGCTCTCAAGGCCTGGAGGTTCAGGGCAGGTGTGGAAAGGGGAAGCAGAGGCTCCAGGAAGACGATTTCAGTAGCTGAGGAACCCACAGCTGGAGAACCCTGGTAGAGAGGCTGCCACACAGAAGCAAGGAGGCTGGCCTGCCCCCCATGAAGGTTTGATTTCCTCTTCTGTGCAATAGGTGGGACCCTAACAAACCTTAGCTCACAGAACCCTGCCTGCTGGTGCCTGGCCCTTCTCTGTGCTCTGCACGCCCGGAGCGCCCGAGCTGCTTGGCTCACCAGGGCAGCCGAGAGGGCAGAGCAGCGGGCCCAGGCTAGTGCAACTAAACATGTAACATACTCGAGCACACAGGTGTGGGCGTTTGTGCATGGACACACAGGCGTGAGCACACAGATGTGCAGATGTACATACCGATGTGTTTGCTGGGCCTGAAGGAGCAGAAAGGTGGCTCTCGTGACAGGGTGTGCATGTGTCCATGTGGAAGCACTTTATAAACCATACAGTGGCAAATGTCCTCTTTGGGAAATACTGACAGAGGGGTCAGGGAGAGGGCTCAGTGGCTTAGGCCCTGGCTGCCAGCCTGTCGATTTGAGTTTGATCCCGGGAAGCCATATCACAAGGAGAAAACTGACTTCTTCAAGTTGTCCTGACCTCAACACACACAGACACACACAGAGACACACACATGAGAGATAGGTAAATAGATAGACAGATGGATGTAAGATGAAAATGTCAATAAGAAAACTAACCAAAGTCATGTTCCACACCATGCTGACATTTGGGGATTCTCTATACACCTCCTGCCTTGTCCTGTGCGCCTCCTGGTCAGGTTTCCTGTCTTCACTGTAACTCCATGGTGGACCCAAACTACAGCCCCTAAATCCCTCCTACAGGTTAGGGTCTCTCTTCCAGAGCTCCTCTGCCCACCGTGTGAGGCCACGCTAGCCTCTGCTCAGCCCCTGCACTCTGGTCTGCCGACTGAGAGACGAGATGCCGTGGGAAAGAACGATGCCTTCTTGGACATAGTGCCTCGGTCCAGCTCTTGGGAAAGGGGAAGATTCAGGGCACTGGCCAGGGAGAGCCCTATGGCTTTCCTCCCAGCCCCACGGGGGACACAGACACCTAAATGCTGACAAAAGGCAGGCGTTGATCGTGTGCCATGCTGACAGCCCACCCTCTGTCCCTCATCAGTCATCTGGTTGCCTGCCACCTGGAGCATTGGCTCCGCTGATGGGCATGTTACTTTCCTCACACTCAAAGTATACACCCAAATGTCAGACTATGGCACGATAGCATCTATCTGCCCCCAAAGTGCCCATCCGTTCCTGGGGACTGTCCCCCAGCCATCGCTCAAATCAGCACCCTCTGCTCCGCTGACGCGTCTCTCCTGGAGCTGCCTCCACCTCCCTTTAAGGCTCAGGAAAGCAAGCAACTGTTGAGGGTTTGGACTCCAGCCTTAGCTAGGTGTGGCAGCACATGTCTGTGAGGGTGAGGCAGGAGAATCTCAGATTGGAGGCCAGCCTGAGCTACACAGTAATTCCCCGTCTCAGTTGAAAAGAAGAAAAATCCCAGCCTGGACCTCCATCTTGTTCTCTGTGCTGGTCAGCGCACAAGCAGGAGAGGGTGCCTTGGAGTCAAGTCTGAGCTGGGAATTTACGACAAACTGCTTAGAAAGCGTTTGGCAGTTTTGAGCCAGGAAGTCTCCTGACTTCCACTGCCGGCCTGTGAACTGGAGATAGAAACTCTGTCCTCCCAGCTGGCCTAGGAAGCATTTAGCAGGGATACCCTTAGTTGGGTACACCCCCCTGCAGACCCTGCCTGGAGCACCGCAGGCAGCACAGTCCTCCAAGGCAGACTCAGCAGCTCCTAGTGCTCCTCTCTCCCAAGTCAGGCTCCCGCCATAGCCAGCTGTCCTTCCGGATGGCTGACTAGGGAAAAGGAGGCATCTCCTGGCAGCAGAAGGCTGGACCGGGCTCAGCACGGGACAAACTTGCCTCGGTCATGACTTGGGGAGACTGTCACCACAATCACAGATAAGGTCACTTCCTTGCCGCCAGTTCCCAGCGGAGTGGCTTTCTGCCACTCAAAGCACACTTTCCACTCACTGGCCCCAAGTGAGGGCACCGGAGAAGGGAAGAAGAGAACGGGCTGCTCTTTCCCTTTCGAGTGCATCCTCGCTCCAGACCCACCCCACCCCTCGTCTCGTCCACTGTAAACGCTGTGGAAGCTGGGGCAGCAGGCTGGGGTGCTGCCTCTTCTAGGGCCCAGTGGTCCTCCACGGCCGCACAATCTCTATGCTCTTCTCTAGACAACCTCCCAACTGTGGCCAAATGTACATGACAAAAATTCTCCCACTTCTGTTCGCACTTGTTAAATACACCTGCGACACTGAGCAGCTGTCACCACCACCCGTGCTCATCTCCTGAGCCAGAACTGTCCCCATTAGGCACTGCCACCCGTGTCCCTCCCACCCCAGCTCTTGACAGTCACTGTTGCATTTTCGGCCCATGCATTTGCCAACTCTAGTTCCTCCCATAGTTGGAGTCGTGGAGAGTCTAGCCTTTGAGGCTGGTTTGTCTCCTTAGCACAAGGCCGCAAGGTCCACCTATGAAGCGATCGATCTTCCACTGTACGGATGTTTCACCTGTTCTTTTTCTGCTCGTTGGTCTGTGAACACTTGGATGGCTGTGGCTCCTTGGCTACTGTGTGTGGCACAGCTGTGAGCGCCAGTACGAAAATGTTGAGTATGCTTATAACTTTTATGAGCATAGGCATGGAAGCAGAATTTCTGAATTATAAAATAATTTCGTTTAATTTTTGTCTGCTCTCCAAACAGTTTACCACAGTGCTGTACTCCCATCCTGTAGGAGCCCTCCTTCAGGGACTGGAAGCAGCCTCCCCAAGGCCCTTTCTCATCGGAGGAGATCCTCAGCCTGCCTGTGACTTTCAGCACGGCCACAGCAGACTCAGTCTGCACATACAATCTACAAAACAGTATGATTACTCAATTGAAAGGCCTTGCCAACTCCAGACCCTGCCCAACCTCAACTGCTGCCCCTCCCCCAGACTTACTGAGTTCTTAGGTTGGGTGCTCTAAAAGGCAAACTGGGGACACCTATCCTAGCCTGCCCTGCTGAGCTGGCAGGAGGAGCCCAACTCCCTTCCCCCACCTCACAGTGCCCCTGCAAAGCCCGCCAGCTAGAGCCTTTGCCCCTCCCCCTTTGCAGCTACTCAAGTCCGATGGTGTGAGCCAGGAGCCCAGCGAGTTTCCCACACTTTGGCCCCATTCACAGTGTTAAACGGCCCACAAAGGCCAGGCGTGTGCCTCAGAGGCCGCCTGGGCTGCCATCTGGCCCGCACTCGGGGAGGCAACCAGCCTTTCATCCGGCTGGGATTTAACACCATTCATTTCATATTTCCCACAACTGAAAATTGGATCAAAGCTGCTCGGGTCCAGGAGGGTGGTGAGGAGGAGCGGGGGTGGGGGGCCTCCCCGTGGCCCACCCACCACCCTCACCTCTGGGAGGCCGCTCTCCTAACCCACCGCGGGTGGGCGAGCAGTTGGGGTGGGATGGAGGTTGGACCACATTTCCTGACACGTGTCTCACTTGGGTGAGGTGCTGGATCAGGGGAGGGTCCTGGGAGAAGAGGGCACCAGCCTTAGCCAACAGTCCCCACCAAAGTCTTGGGAAGCAAGTCTGTGCTTGATGACCCGCACACCTAGGAGCAGTCTTGGGTCCTTGACGCCTGTTGCCAAGCACTAATAGTCAGCACACACATAGGCTCAGACCCCGTTTCCAGGTGAATGGTTTCAGGCCCTCCCTGTTCTGCATCCCCTCGGCCCCCAGGTCACCTGCGTGCTCCTGAGCCCGGGGGCGCTGGGGCTCCCAGGACAGGTTACCCTGGCCCCTCCCTGGGATTTGAGATCCATGACAACCACTGCATGAACTTCTTTTAGGCTGCAAACAAGACTCTACCGAGCGACATCAGGGACTCCTCAGCCTTGTAGTCTGGGGTGCTGCCTACCCACCACACAGTCCACAGCAGCCCCTGCGAAGTCCTCAGGACTGTAGAAGCAGAGGCCTGGCATACAGCCTCAGCCTCCCTCCTAGGAGAGGAGCCTCCAGCTCAGGTGAGGGGTGTGATGAGGTCTTGGGGAGGTGAATACAGGTACCCTATCTTGCCCTGGACAGAACATCCTGTCCTGTCTCAGAGCCAAGCCTTCCGCACTGTCCCAGATGGTTCCATCCGTGGTAACCAACGAGCCCTTGTGCTAAGAACTTACGGAGCTGGGCCTGGCAAAAAGCCCACTTACAGCAGTGGGGCTCTCAATTCCTGAGCTCAGACACAGCTGACATCTGTCCGGAGAACCTGGTTCCAGCTCTTGGCTGCAGTGTTGTGATGCCAGCCTCCTTCCTAGACCTGGCTAGGTCTTAGGTTGTTCCTGGGAGGAAGCACAGGCCTCATGCCCTCCCTCAGCCCCTGCAGAGTATGGGAGAAACAGTACAGGTTCCAGATGGAGGGGCGATGCCAGGGCCATCTCCCAGGGGTCCAGGTGGGACTAGTAAGGTGGCCTGGCATCACCCAGAGGGACCCATCCGTGCTGGCACAGCATTCACCCTGTATCCTAGTCTCCGGTCTGCACCTGGTATACACACAGCCAGTGCTGAGGAAAGCAGGAGCACACAGGTGCTGGTGCACTCTCGTGGGCGCGTACACTCACACACAGGGTGGGGGTGGCTGCGAGAGGAGTTAAGGACAGCTAAGGCTTCCTGGCAGCATGAAGACGTGCTGTGGTACCCGCTGGCCCAAGCAGTGCAGATCCGGGTGGGCACAGGGGTTCCCGCAGGCTTCCTGGGCAGGGGCTTCGTACTGGCCACCAGCCACAGCAAGTTCAGGTAGCCCGGAAGTACGCCGGGCAGGCTCCACACGCTGAGTAATATCTAGCCATTTCTAGCTCTGGAGAAGCCACTCCTCCCAAGGGACAGTTTGGGAGCTGGCAATACGGAACCTCTGTCTTAAATCCTACGTGTCTCTCTCACCCTCTACCTGTAGACAGCATGACAGCGGCACCTTTTGGGGGGAGTGTGGCCTACTTTAACCCACTATGCCCGTGGGCAACAGGTCCCAGCTGGGGAGAGAACCCACTCCTCTGGAAGCCGCTGTCTGTTAATTGTAAAACTCATTTTTCTGCGCCTGTGGCCTCTGCCAGCCAGCGGTGGGGAGCCGCTGGGGAGTAGGAGGGGGCACTCCTTCCTGCCCTCCCCACCTCCCTGCGGCCTGGGAAAAGGCAGCATATTGAGGCGCGGGGCTCTCAGCATCAGGCCCCGGGATGCTAATGAGGGCGAGCGCGTTCCCACAGCCCGGACATTGTGCCGCGCGGCCCACCTGCTCCTCGGGGAGCGACCATTGTGCCCGCGCCAATTCACAGGCAATTTAGCGTGCGCTAATGGGCCGGCGCCTTTGTGCGGCCGGCGCCGCCATTGGCCGCCGAGTGTGGGAACGGCCGCGGCGCCCGGACCCCAGGCGCCGGGCCACTGCCCGCGCCTATATAGGGCTGGCGCGCGGGGCTCGGGGCCGCGCCAGCCCGGGACGCCTGGCTTTGCCCGCTCCGCTCCGTTCCCCATCGCCTCCAGAGCGCCAGGCATGGCCCCAAGCACCGTGGCGGTGGAGATGCTCAGCCCCAAGGAGAAAAACCGAGTAAGTGCCGCGCGCCCAGCGCTCGCCGTCCCGTTCCCCCGGGGCCTCCGGCGTCCGCCGCCCGCCTGACGCCTCTCCTCCCGCAGCTGCGCAAGCCGGTGGTGGAGAAGATGCGCCGGGACCGCATCAACAGCAGCATAGAGCAGCTGAAGCTGCTGCTGGAGCAGGAGTTCGCGCGGCACCAGCCCAACTCCAAGCTGGAGAAGGCCGACATCCTGGAGATGGCCGTCAGCTACCTGAAGCACAGCAAAGGTGAGCCCCGCGCCCGCCCCGCCGCCCCGCGCGCCCCGCTCCCGCCGCGCGCCCCGCGCGCGCCCCACTCACGCCGCCCGCCTTTCCTCACAGCGTTCGCCGCGGCCGCCGGCCCCAAGAGCCTGCACCAGGACTTCAGCGAGGGCTACTCGTGGTGCCTGCAGGAGGCCGTGCAGTTCCTGACCCTGCACGCCGCCAGCGACACGCAGATGAAGCTGCTGTACCACTTCCAGCGGCCCCCCGCTCCCGCCGCGCCGGCCAAGGAGCCCCAGGCGCCCGGCGCCGCGCCCCTGCCGGCGCGCTCCTCCGCGAAGGCCGCCGCCGCCGTCTCCACCTCGCGCCAACCCGCCTGCGGCCTCTGGCGGCCCTGGTGACCCCGCGGGGCCCGGAGCGGAGCGGAGGAGGGGCGCGCTCCTCTCGCTCCTCTCTCCCCAGCCGCCGCTCAGCCCCAGGTTGGCCGCACCTTCTTGCGAAGGCTCCCTCCCCAGGCTGGCTGGCCAGCAGGAGGCTCATTCTTCAGAGAATGTGTGTGCAGAGTTGTCATTCAGGGACAGTCGGGGCCCGCCCTCTGCCGCGCGTCCGACCCTGTGGGGTTGTTTTGTGTTTGCATTTCAGCAAGTGACTTCTGGGAAGTTCCCTGTCACCGGGAGTTCTATGACATTTGTAGTCAGGGGTGGCTCACCCCAGCCCGTAGAGGACTTTCTTCGGGGCCCGCTGCTGCTGGGCCAGCACCCTGCAGGCGGGCCGTGCCCTGGGCACACTTGCCTTTTGTGAAGGCGGAACAACAGGTGTTTCCTCATAGGAAAGCACTCAGCCTGCGTGGACATAGGCCAATGGGACCTCACCTAAAGGTCCACGTGGCCTTAGCTGTCTGATACACGCTCATAGTGGGCTGTCTGGGAGGGTAGGGTCTCCATGATGATCCTTAAAGGATTCCTTTGCGTGGGTGGGTGCGTGTGGGCACAGTTTTGTACTTAGAATTTCAATGCTTCCTCATGTGGGAGACCACAGGCTGCTCTGAAGGCTTCTAATAAAACTTCCAGCCCTCTGTGCGTGCGTGTCCCCTGTCCTTGGCAGCCATGGGGCACCCTGCCCCATGATGGGGGTGGAACGTTCACGGAGAGGGATCAGGAGGGTGCTTGCTGGCGGTTCTCTGACAGAGAAAAGGGGAGGCCAGCGGCAGGAGGTGAAGAGGAGAGGCACACAGAGCTGCCTCCGAAGGGAGGGGTCGGGACAACTGCAGCCCTCCTGCCGCTGAGAGGAAGCCTAAGCCGCAGCGGCTCTCCTACCGCAGCAAGCCTTGGCCGTAAAGCCTGAGACAGTGCCTGCCCAGCTTCTGCCACCCTTGTGCACCTGTCCAGCTAATTCGGAAACGCCCTCCCTCCCACCGGGTGGCCCACCCATTCTATTCAGTGAACCTGGTAGGTATGGCCATTGTCTCAGACAGGGCTCCATGGCAGGCTGGTCGAGATCACAGGGCCCCAGAACCACAGTTTCCCGGTGCCCCAAAGGCAACATCCATGGAGCAAGGAGGGGGAAGGCGCTGTGTGTGTCTACAAGTCGCCCTGACCCTGGCCTTTCCCCCTCGGCAGTTCTCATCAAGGCCTCCTCTCATCCCTTTCCATCTCCTCTGCCAGTGGCCACGTGAAGAGGACCCTGCTGAGCCCCCAGATAGAACAAGCAAGGACACAGAACCTCCGTCTCTACTCATGTTGCTCACCACAGGAGCAGCACATTTGTGAATAGGGGAGGAGGCCAACTGCCCTTTCCGAGTGCCCCTCTAAACACAGGCCAGGCATACCCCACTGACAGGGCCGAGCTGCTGTGTCACTCTCAGGAGGAGCCCTGCCACCCTGGGGCAGGCTCTCCCACCAGGAGCATGTCCACCCTGTCGGCAGGCACGGAAAAGGCTGCCTCCTCCCTGAATGGATCCAAATACAAGGCTGCTGAGCCTGTGCCTCAACCCTGTGCTCCAGGAGCTTGCCAGTGTGCAAGCGGCCGCCTACAGGCAGAACCGGAGAGCAGATATTAAGTTACAAGATGGGCTTCTTGGGGACACAGCGCTTGCTCTCAAGGGACTTGAGTCAGCAGTCATTCCAGATCACCTCTGCTTTGGAGCCCTGGCCCCTCTTCCAGGAACCCTTTCCTCCTTTCCCCCTGTTCTTCCTGCAGATTGCCTTTACAGTGCCCATCCCCCCCCCCGCAGACACATACCTCCCCCACATATCCCCTCCCCCTTGGCTGGGCACTCTTCGAGTGTAGGGTCCTTAAAACCACTCCAATTCACATGGGAGTGTTAGCATTGAAGGTCCTACGTCTGTGGAAAACCAGGATGCTGGGTCACCCTAGCAGGAATCACCGCAGAACCAACCTCACAGGAGGAGGGCGCCAGACCCAGGCGGTCTGAAAGCGGGATCCGCAGGCTCAACACAACTAGCCAGCTCAGAGAAAGAACGACATTCCAGAAGCTTTGTATTGGTAGTTTGGAGAAAACAGCCCTTCCTCCCGCAGTCCCGCTTCTAGGACACTCGGCTGGGATGGTCACGGGGCACGAGCTCCAGCACAGGCGGAGGGGGCGGTGTCTTATTAGCATAATTTATGCACGCGATCGTTTAGCAGTCAATTATATGCGCATATATCTCCATGGCTGATGAGGCTGGCCGGGCACTTTCAAAATGGCGGAGCGTGGAGCGAGTGGCGGCGGGAGTGGCGGGGACAGTCTGGACAAGAGCATCACGCTGCCCCCCGACGAGATCTTCCGCAACCTGGAGAACGCCAAGCGCTTCGCCATTGATATAGGTAGCCACGCACTCGGTATCCGAGCGGGCGGCCAGAGCAGCGGGCGCGGGCAACCAGCGGGGGTGGCGGGAAGGACGAAGGGCGGGGGCACGGGCCATGCGCACAGCCTCACGGGTCGCCGCACAGCCGCCTGGGACTTGTAGTGTGTGCAGCGTCGAGTTGTGGGATCGAGCCGGCTTTCGGACTTCAGCTCCCGGTAGGCGCCGCGCGGGTGGAGCGGGGCACGTCGGGCCTCGTAGTCCGCGCAGCGCCGGCCGATTGTGAGGGGTTCGTGGGGGAACGGGAAGGGCGAATTGTCTCGGGGGTCCTAGTTTGCTCAGAATCCCCGGAGGTTTGGCCGGGCATGGCCCTGCGGCACAGTCCGCCGGCGCTCCCGCTTCCCAGGCAGCGATCGAGACTGGGGCCTGGAGCTCAGCGTGCTCCGTGGCTTTGGGCGCCCGCAACTGTCTCCTACGGCCGCCGCCTCCCGCGTGCCTGGTGGTTGACCTCCCTGCCAACCCTCTACAGGCCCGCGTTGGGCTGCCTCCTGCCCCTAACAAGTCCGCGGGGAGGTTCTGTCATAGCCCCTGTGTTCAGACGTGGAGACCAAGACACAGAAAAACGGCTAGTTTTCTCCGGGGTCTTTCGATCTGTAGATAGCAGAGCTAGGACGGCAGCTGCCTAACCCCCAAGCACTCTGCTGTGCATCCTATCATTGGGGAGCCTTGCACCCATCTGCTTGCTGGCGTTTTGCCTGTGTGCCTTTTGATGGCAGCGTGGTCCATGCGGCCCCACACAGCAAGCAGGGCAGCATCCGCTGTCTTGGACTTACCTCTGTGAATGTGTGAGCGTGCTGCCGGCAAGATTCTCTGTTGAATATGTTCATTGCCCGCGTGCTTTTGGGTTGTCTCTCTGAGGTGCTTTTTCTTGTGGGGAATGGACAGTGGATAAAGCAACGATGGCCTGCTCTGCGCCCCGACTTTATCAAGGGGTCAGTGTAGGCTGCTGATGGGGCGTAGGTACCAGCATTTTCGAGTAACACTTGAGATGACTTAATGACTGGCTGTGTGTTGGGCTGGGAGTGGAGAGCTTGCGGGCCCAGCGGTGGGGGCTGGCCACTACCCGACTTCTCCAAAGGCTCTAAGGTAGCTGTTCCTAGGCTTCTGAAACCTTCACTGCAGGGCTAGGTTTTGTGCTTTGTCCTGTGCTCTTTCACTGGTTCGTTGGGAAGAGAGCAAAATTAAATATGTCTTGAAAGCAATTGAAATTGATTTTTAAACATCCATCAGGCAGTTGAGAAAATAGGGTTCACCTTGGATAATCTATGTGGCTCCCAGAGACCATTTAACCAATAGCCGTAAGGCATGAGCTGTAGTGGAGGGGTGCCGTCACACCAAAGGCACTGAGACCAGACACAGGCCACCTTGATGAAAGGGCACTGCAGGGGTATGTTCAGTGTTGGTTTCGCTTCCGCCAGCCTGCGTCCAGGATCTGAATGTAGGACATGCTTATTGTCCCTGTGGACAGACCCCCCCCCCATCCTCCCCTCCACCTTCTGATGGGAGATCACAACTCCAGATGGGGTCAACAGCTCAGACACCTACAAAACTTGTCAGTGTGGTTAAAAACAGACTTCTCCTGTTTCCTCTCTGCTCACTATGTCTCTGGATCCAGGCAGCCTCAGCTGTTCTGTGTTGTTGGCCAGGTCCTTTCCTTTCTTGGATGGGGACACCGATGTCAGCCGGGTTGATTCACTTCTGGACACACAGGCAATGGGAAGGGCACACAGGTCCGAAGAGACTGGAAGTAGTAAATGCTGGGCTGTCTTGCCCTTCCCTGATGCTGTGGTATGCATGTGAAAGTCAGAGGACAGCTTGATGGGAGTCTTCTTCCACCGGGTGGGTCCTGGGGATCAAATTTAAGTCCTCACATTGACAGCAAGCACTGTTCCTCCCTGACCCATCTCACCGGCTCCCACTAATTTCTGATGAATTGCTTAAAATATGTCTCTGTCCATTTGCACAGTCTTGTCCTCTAGGAAACAGTGCATCCTCAGAGGTGAATTAGACAAGCATCTAGAATCAGACAAGCCTGAAGACAAGCTAGGATTGAGGGCAGGAAAGAGGGATCAGGAGGCTTGGGACTACGGCCAGGGATGAGAGTAAGCTCATACACTCACTAAAACAAACACGCCTCTCTGTGCCCTGACAAAGCAAGGCTCCATGATAGTCATCTTGCTGGGACAGGACAGACTTCAGTGTGTCAGTTTCACTGAGGGGAGAGCTCTGGCCTCCAGGCATCCTGGTCTGCATGTCTGTAAATTTGAGTGTCTGCTCTCTAGTAGTCCTGGAGGATTCCTCACAGCTAACGCTTGGAGATAACTTAGCCATCTTACTGTGCTACCTAGAGCCTGCTGCCTGGTCAGGCCTCTGAGAGGTGCAGCAGTGGTGTGCTGAGATTCCAGTTCCCCAGGTGTCACTTGAGGGCAGCTGCAACTACAAGCTGGAAAGTGCCTTTTCTGCCTGCAGGGGCTTGTCCCTGCCATTTGGAACTCTGGGCAGATTTCCCTGGAGTGTATGGCTCACGTGGACAGAGGCTTTATGCCATTCCTGGAGAACAGAGGCTGGCTGTGTGCAGCGTTCTTCGGGTGCAGGGCTCTGGGAAGGTGTCAAGAGCCTGCCTGACTCCAGGTGTGTGATTGATGCACACCCTTAATCCCAGCACTTGGGAGGCAGAAGCAGGTGGATCTCCAGGTTCAAGGCCAGCTTGGGCTACATAGTGAGTTCCAGGACAGTCAAGGCTACATAGTGAGACCCTGCCTCAAACACTGAAGGAAATGGATAGACAGAGCACTGACTGTTCTTTAAAGGGACCCAGGTTCAGTTCCAAGCACGTACGGTGGCTAGCAACCGTCTGTAACTCCATTTACACGGGGATCAGGTGCCTTCTTCTGGCCTCCACACTGCATGGATATGGTGCCCAGGCATTTATTTAGGCAAGACATAAACTAAACTAAAAAAAGACATACACATAAAGTTAAAAGGAAATCTCAAAAATTAAAAAAGACATAAAAATAAAATCTTTAAAAGTCAGCAAAGAAAAGAGCCTGGGCCTGGTGTGAGCCTTTGACCTCCTCTGGCTGCTTCTGGCGTGTTGGCTCCTCCATCAGCCCGGAGAGTCCTGGAGGCCAAGGCCCACGCTCTGACCCTGGTGTCTCGGCGCTGCCGTGTGTTGCCCGCCTGCTGTGTTAAGATGGGAGGTCAGGTGT